GGGGGCGCGCGAGGAGGGGGGCGGCGGCGGCGGCATCCTGGGCGGCGTGAAGAAGGGCGTGAGGCAGATCCTCGGAAAGGCCAAGAAGGAAGGTGCGTCGGACCCAACGGCCGGAGGGCTGACCGGGAAGGGACCGCACGCATGCGGCGGCCGGGCGGCTGCCATGGAGAACGGCTGCGGCGCCGGCGCCGGCGCTGGCGGCGGCGCGTGCGGCTGCGTCGCCGCGCGAGGCGCCGCCGGTGCCGGCACCCTGCCAGGGTCTTCTTGGGCGCCGGGCGCTGCCGCCCAGACCAGCCCGCCAGCCCCGGGCGTTGAGGCAGCCCGGACCGCTGTCCTTCCCAGCACCCCGCCGGCTAGGCCCGAGCCGGCTGCCGCCGCTGCCGCTGCCGCCGCGCCAGCTGCTGGGGACGCCCCAGCAGCGCCGGCACTGGCGCGCGCTCTTTGGGCCCTTGCCGCTGGCCAGTGGGCGGCGGCGGCGGCGCTGGGCGCCCTGGCGCTTTATGTGTGGCAAGCCGCGCCGGCTCTGGAGGCAGCGGCCGCGGCCGGCGCGGCAGCGTTTGATTGCCAGCTGCCCTTCGCATGACTCCCGCCTGCGCACGCTTTACAAAGGCGAACTTGTTTTTCTCCCACAATCTGATGACAACACCATCGCGGTGCGCTCTGCTTTCTCCTGCACACCACGACAGGCCATGGGCCCGACCAATGAACCCAGCCCGCACATTCCATGGACTAAAGGCGCGCCGGGCTCGGAGCACGCTGGGCCACATCGATGCCGGCCGGCCGGCCAGCCAACAGGCAGCCCCCGCTTGGACCTCCCGGCACCGTGCACCGGGGCGCAGGCACCTGATGGCGCCGCTTGTGGTCGAAATGGACGCTGGCGGCAGGGCGCATGGGGGGAGTGTGTACTTCTGGCGGCAGCGAAGCATCGTGGCGGGTGTCTGATGGCACGGATTACGCGTGAGCAAGTCGCTCGCGTTTGTACACTACGGGCTGGCTCACAGTACATGCAGCTGCAGCATGGGTGGGTGAGGTTGACATTACATGGTTGCTTGGTCCGCCTTCCTGACACGTTGACCCTTTTGACCAGGACGAGAGCGCTCACCGCCCGCCCAATGTCAGTGTGCCTGCGACACTGTTCGCAGTGCTTTTGATCGTGTTGTCTGCAGTGCAGATTTCGGTAGACCCAGCTGCTTGTGCTGTCAAAGGCATTTTGCGATGGCACTCAAACCTGTTGATACAATGTGTGAATTTTAACACACATGTAGTGATGGCCAGGCGTAATCATACAATCGATCAAGACAGCGGTTGTGCAGTTGAGTCAATCAGCAGTGCAGTGCGAGTGCCAGTGATCATCAGTGTCCTGGGCCCCCAGACATGTATCACCATCATTGATGGGTGAGACACCATAAGTGAAGCACAGCACACGCCTTGGCCGGAGCATGCACAGTCACGCTACGTGCGCGTGGTGGGGTCACGAAAGCATGACTGATGGGGCAGCTGCTGCCAAACCACCTTGGCTTCAGATGCCCTCTGGGATATTGAGGCGTGCCGTGAGCAAAGATCGTGCATTTGCGCATCCGCTTCAGCGGCCTGGACTCGCGTTCTTGCCCTGGGTCAGCGGCAATTGACAATCGCGTTGGAGGAAATTGCCAGGCGGGCGTCGGCGCCTTGTATTGTTTTCGATCAACACACTTCTACATTCTTGTCTATTCGCACATTCGCGCTTCCTCTCCGCAACCTCGCCACGCCCCACGCCTCCCATTTTGTCACCCGCCATCACCATGATTGCCAACGTCGCGTCCAAGCCCCGGATCGGCGCCCAGGCCTCCAGGTCGCGCAATGTGACCGTCCACGCCTTCAAGGCTCCTGCTGCTGTGGCCGCGGCTGCCACTGCGGTTGTCCTGATGGCAGCGCCGTCGGCGGAGGCCAAGTGAGTGCCATGACGAGGCCGCGGGTCCTTGCATTTGCGACGATTGGCAATTCTGGGGGTAGGATGCCCAATTCTGGATGTAACATGCTGCTGTGCCGCGCACGCGCAGCGCCGTGCTGTGTGGAGGTGTCCAGGCGAGCGCCAGCCGCCGTGGTCCCGGCCACTCGCCACGTATGCGCGATTGACTGTGCGCCGCCCCTCTGGTCGCGCCCGCTCGCCCCTGCTCACCCTTTAGACCCCCTCACCGCCCTCCACCCACCCACCCCTCCCGTCTAGGCTGCCCCCGGGCGTCTCCACCCCTGGGCCCTTCTCATTCCCCGCCGAGCTCAAGGAGCGGCTCAGCAAGGCTTGGGGCTCCTTCGGCGGCGCCCCGGCCCCCGCGGTTGTTGACACCCCCACCCCGGCCCCCGAGGAGCCCGCTGTGATCGCCCCCGCCGTCGAGGCGACCCCCGTTGTCGCTGCCGTCGAGGCGCCCGCCGCCATCGAGGTCCCGGCTGTCGAGGCCCCCGCCGTTGTCGAGGCGCCTGCCGTGATTGAGGCGCCCGCCGTTGTCGAGGCGCCCGCTGCCGTCGAGGCGCCCGCTGCCATCGAGGTGACCGCTGCCGTCGAGGCGCCCGCCGCCGTTGAGGAGCCCGCGGCCGTTGAGACGCCGGCTGTCGAGGCCCCCGCCGCGCCCGCCGCCGCGGATGAGCCGGAGCTCGTTGCTGAGGCGCCCGCCCAGCCCGAGATCGTGGCTGTGGTCGAGATTGTCGTCATCCCTGAGCCGGAGGTTGTCGCCGTCGCCGCCGCCGAGCCCGAGGTTGTCGCCGTCGCCGTCGCCGAGCCCGAGGTTGTCGCCGTCGCCGTCGCCGAGCCCGAGGTTCTCGTTGCCTCCGAGCCGGAGGCCGCCGCCGAGCCGGTTGCCGTGGTTGCGGTCGCCGTCCCCGAGACTGTGGAGGACGCGGCGCCCGTGGAGGTGGCCGCCGTGGCCGAGGTGGCACTCGAGTAGATGAGCGGCTGAGCCCCGCTGCCACCCGCCGGCATGAGCCGGCTGGCCTGTTGCGTGTGCAACAATTGGGGCGGTTGCGCTGCGTGCAGCTCTCAACCTTCCAAAATGGAGCGCTGTCTGTTGAGCATGCAGCAGCAGATGAAGACGACAGCGCGAATTATGGCGTAGCATCAACCGCGGATCGTGAGAGTCAACCAGGCGATCATATGCGTCCAGAGGTATCTGACGGATGGCCCCTTGTGCACTCTGCACAGGCCACAACGGCCCATAAGTTGCACAGTCGAGTTTTTTTTCGCGGAGCCGAGCCGCGCACCCCACATTGCCCCAGCCTGCCATCTGGGCACGCAGCAGCACACCCCTTGCAGGTGGTGTTGTTGCACCCAACCTGGCCAGTAGAGCTCCGATTCGGGCCCTGCTGTTCCCCGCCGAACTGCATTCGTGTACGCACCACGCACCACCGCTTCACCGGCCAGCCGCGCGCATAATTGCGCCAGCTCTCGCCGCTCGATCTTTTTCCTGGGACTGACTGATGACATCTGGGCATTCATCGCCTGTCTGCACGGCAAGCAAGCCCTTCCGCTGGAGGGCTGCCAGGGATTTGAGGCTCGCACGCCCCTATTTGGGCCGCAGCCTTCACATAGCCACATAGCCATAGACAAAATGAGTCGCTTCTAGTAGGCACAAACGATTCACTAATGGGATTCTGGGATTCAAGGGATCGGGTTTTAGATACAAGACGGCGACAGGGGGCCTGCAGCCGTCGCAGGCTGTGGCCAACCTGCAGCACCGCCGCATGTGCCAAAGTAGACAGATCTGCGGCCCGCCTAGCTGGCTTCACTGCCTAAGGCCACTTTTTCACACGGGTGTGTTTGGTAGCTGTGCATGTGGCCATTGCAACTCGTGCCGCGAACAGGGCGCCTTGCGCATCCCATGTGTAATCAGTGCTGGCCCCTTGACGTCCAGTGACTGCCAGCAGGATGGGAGGCACCGCAGGCAGGCATCATGTCCTGTGGAGGTACAAGGCTGTTTGCATGGGCAAGCAGCAGCAGCGTGCCAGTCATGCTTACCTGCGCAGCCAAGGTGACTATGCCACGCGGATCGGCCACAGGTGTCGCAATTATGCTGAAAACTGCACCTCAACATCTGGCCGAAGCCAACGCCGGTGATGACGGCTGAGGCATTAGTGGGCACGTTGACAAGCCTGGCGTTATTGGCCACCTCAAGGTCGTGTGCATCACAAGGATGTTCGCAGTCATGATGCTGAGGACAGTGGGGCTGCTAACAGGGGGTGCATACGCAAGAGCGCAGCGCAGCGTCGGGGTTCATGTGAAACGATGATGGACTGTTGGTGTAGTTGGCAACGTGCCTGCTTGCAATGACGCTGTGTTTGCGATCCGGCATGATGTCATCAGCAGTGCATTGCAAGGCCTTGCTGAAGGTTGCACGGTGAGGCATGTGCGCGACTAATGTGTGGCGGGCCGCCAGCCTACTAGCAGCGCCCTGGTGCACAGCATCTCCTGCATGCTGGCAAGGCAAGCGGTAAATTCTGTTGTATTTCACAGCAGCGCTGGAGCCACACTGCCAATGGGTGGGACATACTCCCAGGCCACCCGCGGCCTTTGTCAAAGTTGGCCAGCCACGTAGAGGCCTGCCTGCTCGCGCGACACCAGGATGCCGCCCCTGCTTTGAAGCTTCCCACAAAGCATTCGCCCAAATGGTTCCACCCAAGTAACCCTAGTCATTCTTGCAAGGATCCATGATCAACCTGCCTGCTTTACTGTTCTGAGTGGTTGTGAGGCGTCACTCGATGGCGGCACTGGTGACACAGCGGTGGAGTTGGATTCTCACCTTGCTTCAGGTGACATGCACAACCTAGCAACACTGTTTCGGAAACAAAGGTGGTGCTGTGGTCCGCAGGAGAGCGCTGAGTCGTCCGGATCGGTCGACCGCAGCAAGCTTGATGATTTCTAGGACACGGGTTTGCTACTGCTCAACTTCTGTGACACGGCGCTTCAGATAGCGTGGAATCGCGTCTGCAGAGTGCGAGCTGGGCGCTGTTGCGCCAGCTGCAAGCAAGACGGCCTCGCTGCTTCGGCGATGGCGTGCGCACCCCCGCCCACGCGGCCGTTTTCCGCCCAGTTTGCGGCGGCCCAGGGCGATGTACGCAACGCGCGGAGTGTTGAAGATTGGAAGCTGCGCAAGACCTACATGGTGGGATCCATTTGCGGAGTTGCACTTCGCGAGTTCCCTCATCATTCAGGCACTGCCCAATTCACAGTGTGGGGGCCCCAAAGATTTGGCAGGGCCCCACATGCACACACGACACATGACGCCCATATACATGAAGCCGCGCCCTCGACCCTCAAACTCAACCAACTAGTGGCTTGTCGCCCTGGCGGCCGGAATCCTAACGGGCTGCATGGCCTTCTGCCTCAACTGGGCGACAGAGGCGCTGCAGTGGGCCAAGTACGCGGCCGCGGTGTCGCTCATCCAGTCAGACGGTGGGGCCGCCAGGCAACGGAGCCCCAGGGGGCCTGCACCCACTCATGGTTCGGCGCGACGCGGTCAGCCGGCAGCAGCGGGTGGGCGTGTGGTGCCCCTGGAGCCCCCCTCAAGAGCCGTGCCAGCCAGCCGGCAAAG